ATGATCTTTTTCTAAATTATTTTTTAAATAATTATTATTATTTTCATTCATTCATTTATTCAAATAAATAAAAAAAATTACTTTCTAATTAATTAAATAACCTGATACATAAAATATGTTACTTTAAAAAAAATATAAAACATATACACATATGTTTATAGTATATACGATAAATCAATTATTTTTATACATCCGTATATGCATCGATTTTTTTCATAATTAAAAAATAAATTACAATGAAAAAAAATTATGTAATATGTATCTACTACGTAATTATTAAAAAAAATGTATATTGAATAACATACATTATTTCAATAATTGATAAAAAAATTTGAACATGTTTTTTTTATTTAACTCGATTTATGTAACAAATTTTACTAACCTTTCAACTTTTATCTGGTTTTCAAAAAAAAAATAAAGATAAACTACGAAATATTCTCATACTATCATAATTATATGAATCTTAATCGCTTCTGCTTTTTTTTTTTGTTATAATAAATGAATGAAAAAAATAAATAAATAAAAAAAATTGAAAATACCGACTATATACTTTATATAGCTACTGATATATAACCTAAATATGATAAGCAAATGATTATTTAATTAACAATAAATATAATAAATTATTATTTATTTGATAAATATAAAAAACAACACTTTGATTTTTTTTTTTAATCTTTTTTTTTTCCTTTTCGAAAAAAATAAAAATAAAAAATAAGAAAAATAAAACCAAAAATGCCGGCCTCTATCACTATTCTATGTTGTATAATAAATTATTACAAAAAATCTATTCCCAATAAAAATCTTTCTGTTGTAGAAGCTTCAGGTGTTGTAAGATCACGAAGTCTTGATTCTCCGTTAAATATTATTTTAATTAGATTTTATCCTTATGATGTAATTCAAGAGTTACATTTACCTGAATTTGAAGATAAAGACATAATACTTGCTACTGGAAATTTTCACATTGTTGAAAATATAGATCAAGATAATAAAAAATTTCCAATCTTAAAAGTATATTTTACTTTTTAAACTATAAAAGTTAAACTAATAAATATATCATTAACTTTTCTTTAAATAATAAAAAATTATTTTAAATGATGTTGTTTGTTTTACTATTCTTAACTCTGACAATTTATCTATGTTTCCAATAATAATCAATATGACAGTATTGGTTAAAGAAGATCCAAAAATCGATAAAGAAGATGTAACTATAAATGTCTCAACTAAAAATTATGTAGACCAAGACTATGTTAATATCGATATGATATGCTATTATCTTGTATCTACACAACATCTAATGAATATAACTACAGTCATAAAGAAACATTCCATACTATATATTAATAGAGAACTTATTATAACTGATGATGATACCATAGTTTATATTCAAAATCTTTCATTTCCAGAATTTTAAAAATCAAATACAATTATAAAATTTACTCCATCTCAACTTTCATGGGAATCTAAAGATAAAGCTAATGCAGATCAACATAATACTATCGCTCAAACCATAGGTGCAAGAGTTAAAGGAAATACTCAAGGTAAAAAAAATAATTCAACCTACAAACTATATATTAGAACTACATCTCGTCCAAAAGTAACTGATTTGGCAACTAATATTTTAAACCAAGCCTCAAGTTCAAATACATCTAACCAAACCATCAACAAATAGATAAGTATATTAATATTTATATATTTACGCTATTCTAACTCATGTTAATAATCTGAATTACTTATTCTATTTCTTTAATTTACTATAAATTATATAAATAGTTAATTAAAATTAATACTTAGTTTTATATAATATTTCCTATAAACAACTCTTTCCGATGATTATTTAGACCAACCTTACCGACAAAAAAAAATAGAAGTTTGCTGGAGTTGGAGCTGAAGTAGACGCATAGTAATGGTTTTTATAGAGGTCAATCGGGTTGTCTTGCTTTTTCTTTTGGCTTGGAGACTCCTCTATATATTTATCATACAAGTTAGAAGCATTCTTGTACAAGATAACTGGCAGGAGGATGCGCCCTTGTGCAAAAAATTCTAATGGAAGAGGTCTTTCACTTTCGATAACGAAGTTATATATGCACCTGACTTAACTGGAGAACAGCAGACAACTGTTTTAAAGAAGCCTCACACTCTTTTACTTGGCCAAGTGGTTCCTACTTTACTATTA